CAAGCCATTTATCCCTTCCACATTGCTTTGCATTCTTGAAATAGTCATCTAACGTGAAAATAGTCAGAGCTGTAATAAGGAGAGCTGCCAAGATAACAGCAAGAATATCCACCCTTTAGTTTTATCTCAGCATTAGAACGTATAGTATACCATTTTAAAATATTTTGTTTTACACTGGATATTTAAAATCTGGATTGAGAAAAGTATAAAAGAGGTGATAGGAGCTGTGCTGCCTGAAAAGCCTCATGGCCCTCAGTTACAGTTCCTTTTTTTTTTTCCCTTAACGCATTAGTTTAAGAGGAGAAATTATTTCTCTGTTCAGCCAACTCAGTCACTCAATTTTCACTTCATGCACAATTCTTATGGTCTGCCATCTCTATCTCCTCCAATTTTCTCCTTCCATTCAACTCCTGTCATTCCTTGAAGCATAATGTAATGTGTAATGGCAACTTACACAGTGGTATCAGAGAACACTATTTCTTTGCTCCTGAATAGTTCTCATATTTTTCTGTGCATAACCTGGGACGTTTTTGTAAAAGGATTGCAACTGTTCAAGGTTCTATTTGTGATATAAGATTTTCTTTAAAAATTGCCCTAAAAACCTACATGCATAATTGTACTTCCTACTATATTAGTACTTTCCAAGACACGGAAACGCATGCTTTCAGTTTAGTGGAAGACTTAACCTTCTTTCCCTAACAATATAAAACTACAGTTTCTGGTTCTTGCATTGCAAGATTTCATAGTGATATAGTTCTACCTACAAGAAAAGCTGTCAGTGGTCAAGGCCAAAATTTACTCATTTAGACTTCAACCACCATTTGATGTGTAAATTCACAGCCATAGTACATTTGAGGGCACCAGCAGAAAGATTCCGGGCTCAAGACAATTTTAGCATTCTTAGATAATAGATATAGAGCAGAAAAAAAATGTAAAATAGTACAAGGGACACATTTCTCTAAACCTACCTATCGAGCATATATTGATTTATCACAACATGGTATGAGTCCAGACTAGTATCTTTTCTCTTATGTTCAGTGAGAAAGGTAAGAGTATATAAGCACAGAAAAAAAAGGTCAAGAAGTAAAAGCAAACCATATGGTTTACAGAACTATGCAAGAAACTATTTGAGCCAGAAAAGCACTGCTTCACAAAAAGTCTTTTCTAATTAATTTGTGTGCCAAATCTCTGTTCTTAGCACACAGTATTGCAGGGAGGCATTTTCAGATCTAGATAGCTTTCTCAGACTTGCAATTTCTATATTCAAGCTGTTGGCCAATAATTCAGTATCCACCAATTCTCCAGTAGTGTAAAGAAAAGTAGAATGTAATGACGTTAACAGAGAAGTCTAAGGCAAACTCTACTTCTGTTTTCCCCACTGTAACATCCCAAAAGGTTGTTGAAAGAGCTATGAAAGTAAATGACACAAAACCAGTTGCTCCAAGTTATTTTTTTTCAGTAGTGAGGTTTCATCTCATTCATCAAATACCATTACATAGCTTTGCATTTCACACATAGGCAGAAAATTCGATTGCACAGATGTCAGTGTGTATCAGACCAGGTGTTATTAACAAGACAGTAACTGATGATGACCAATGTTGGGATATTTAAATAACAAGAACCAATTAAGCAGCCATAATGATTAAGGATGATGAGGACAAAATTGATATTCCAGACCACTTGCATTCATTAGTGTGATAGAGCTTGAAATGAGTGGTCAGATTCTAGTTTTAGACTTTTTTCTGCGTAGAAGATGGATTAAGCTTTACACAGTTACAAATAACAGACTTTAAATAGTCTTTAGAGTAATGAGTAAGACCGGTGTATTTGTTTGATGAAATGGCATATTTTGATGCAATTATCAAAATGTCTTCTCTGTATAAAAGCTCATTAGCTACTTCTCTTGGGTAAAGAAACAGAGAGGTATAGGGATCAACAGTGAAACTGGTAAATTTCAGACTTCTTTAGAGAAATATATATTCATCAAAAAACTCCTCAAATGAGAGATAATAAATTAAATTCAGTGCTATTATCAGTGGAAGAAGGGAAGGAAGGAGAAAGGAAGTTGAAAAGTTATGAAGAGTATTTTCAAAATAAAATCCTTGTCTATGTTTCAGATAAGAAAGAATTTCTTAACTAGCGTTAAGATGAAAGATGGGCAAAATTACATGGGAATAGGTCTGTGGGTCTCCAATTGGAATACATTTGTTCTTACCTCTCTAAAACCAAGAAATGTACTCTGCTGGGAAAGTACCGGTTATTCATCACAGATCTGTTGAAGTGAACAGCATTGTATTCACACAATAAATAGCATTGCAAAATGAAAGCCAATTCTTTTATTTCCTCAGTAGTTCAGCTAGGAGATGGGTTTTGTAGCAGAACTTATTTTGACTGCCTATTTCCACAAACTTAAAGAAGAAGCTCTTGATGGTAAATTTAAATATTTAAAGGAAATATATTTAAAGGAAGGGGAGAGGCAACACTCACCAGGAGAGTTTAGAACACAGCATTAAATGATACTATAATTCTAATATCTGGAAATACCCAGGGACCCGTTGATTATTTGCCATACACACTGTTAAGCACAGACTGGAAGTTAAATTGCATACCTGAGATGAGTGCTGCAGTCATAACAATACTGAGCACATCCAAGTTTGATTGGGTGAGTGTAGGGTATACAATTGCCACCAAGGTACAAAATCTAAACAGAATGCATAAGGTGCGTATAAGCACCCCTGAAGGACTGGTATAGCACAGTGATTAATGGAGCAGGGTTAAACTAGAAAGGATTAATTCAATGCCAAGTTTTGCAAGGAAATACCTTCAGACAAACATAGGCCAGTGCCCAGCTTCTAACAGCCAACAACCAAGTGCAATTTTCAGATTCCAGGAAAATCCTGCTGTGGTGCCATATCTATTTCTATATCCTCCTCACATATCTCTGTTTAATAAATAGTGTTGTATGGCATGCTATACATTTTAATTTCTGTTACCATAGCGTAAGTACTGAGAAGGTCACTGGTGATTCAGATTTTAGAAGCTATCTGGAGATGTGTCTAGAGTTGCTGTTTCATACTTCTGTAAAGTTCCGACTGATTTTAATGAATATTTAAATGGTCATTTCTACTTATTGCTAAATCAATGACTTCTTACTCACAGTATTTGATACTTTCCTTATTCTCTGTCCCCATTTTACACCAAAGACTTGGTTTTATAAGGAAATCTCTAGGCTTTACTCTTGTCACTGGTATTGGACTCGGCTTGGTTTGAGCCAGTGAAAACCATCTACACACTAGTCTTGTATGCTATACAGCATGCTGCAATACAAAAATAAATGTAAAAATAAAAGTTTAAATTTAAGTGTACAGAGGCTGCTACATGAGAGTCATTTACACTGAAAAATCTTTTATCATGTGTTACTGAATTTAATAATTCTCTCATTTTCTCTTACTCATCCCTTCTTTAATTACTCATCCCTTTTCTAATTCTGAATGCCTTTTGAAAACTCCTGACCTCAAGTTACTGCCTGTGTTCATCTTGATTCATAAGCTTTACGTATCATATTCCCCAAACCTTGCCCTTTCTGTTCTGAGAAATATTTTATCGCTGTATTGATTAAAGTCAAATCCATAACACTTATGAAAGAGGGAGGATATTTAAAATATTTTGAAATGAGTGTGTGTTTGTTTGTTGTTTTTTTTTTAACTAAATAAGACTATTTACAATACTTTGATTCATGGTAACGTGATTTTTCCATATGTTGCTTAAAAGCAATTTTACTGGTGACATCAGCATGCATATCAAAGCATAAGAACTGTTTACCCAATGTCCTGATGTAGTCAATTGCAAATAGCTACACGCTACTGAGTACATTGTATATCTGTGCTGAAACTGGGTTCCAATCCCTTTTAAAGCCATTATATTGGATGGTGAGAATGCATGATAAGCAGAACTGTATCAAATGCATTCCAGGCCTTCCTTATGCTGCTACATTTTTTTTTATTATTTTTATTTATTTATTTATTTATTTTTAACTGAGCAGGATTTGAAAGGCAGATCTTAAATCTGTTTTGAAAAAATTATATTGAAGTTAATGCAGTCATAAGGAAAATGGTAATCAAAACATCACAGAATGCTGACAAAGTATTTTTTTCATTATAATGGATAGCTAGAGAACTTTTCTGTAAAATACTCAAAGCTTTAGACAAAAGGACAAGAAGTTTTCACCTCAAGAAGATTAGTTAATGGCACATCAAGCTTTTATATATTGTGAAAGATAATAATTGCTACCAGAGAACAACTGCTGTTACCTATTGGTATAAAAAAAAAAATGCTTGCCTGACATCTTTGAAAACTGAAGCTATCAGCTTATCCACCAGAAACTCACAACAGGGGCAAGAGCAATGTAAAAATTCAGATCTCTTCACATGACTAATTCTGAAGAAGTATTATCTTGTGCTTGCGTTCTAGAAATTTGTGGCATGCAGATTTTCTAAATCTAAAATACAAAATATTTCACTCACAGCTGTTCATGTTAAATATGTCTAACAATCAATTTGTTTAAGAATATGAAAACCATATAGATATGCCCAGCTCTGTGCACATAAGTAGCAATGCATAGTGACTAATGTCAGCTTCATTTGTTCTTTGAACAACTCATTGAATCTTTACATATTAATTTCTTCATTTACAATCACATTTTTGCAGTTATTGGCATACAGAAGTCTTTTCCTCCTTCAAGTGCATGAGTTCTTAAAAAATTTGACTGCATACAATATAGCCATTTGGGAGAAGTTGGGTAGAAGAGAAGGAAAGAGGGTTATGATGGCCCTCCTCCCTGAGGACTTTTCTAATTTTAATTTTTTATTATGCTTTTTTTTTTTTCCCGAGCAACTTGAAGATTTTAGCAATTTTATTTTAATTTAAATCATATTAAATTTAATAAGATTTCACTAATGTTATAATTTAAATTTTAAATTACATTTTTATAAGAAGGGCAAGACAGTAAAAAGGGGCACTTAAACGTCAGTATGCAACTCCCTCTCTCCCCCTAGACTCAAGATTGTAAGTAGCTAGACTTTCAAGAGAGGATGAATACATTCAGAATTGCCCAGGAACACTCTGGAAATAAACAGTTGCTCAAGGACCTTCTGTGAAGCTACCAGCCCAGTCACAGCCAAGTCCTCCTCTTCCCAGTCACGTACTAATGGCCTCTGGACAGCAGCCTAGGGAAGTACAAAGGAGAGCCCACATCACTGCTTTAAGTATTTGTCTGAACATCAGTACTTTGACAGTCACTGGTGATAACACAGGAAACCACTACCTGCTGGCTCTCTTGCTGAAGCAGGCCCAACATTGCAGCCAAATAGCCAATACTGTCCAGATTCAAGAGGAGTATATTAAGTTGATGCATTAGCTTAGCTTCTTGAGTTGCTTTCCTCAGCCTGAATAAAGTATGGTTTGGGGACAGTAGATCACCTCTGAAATATCTCTTTTCGTATGAACTGTAAGGAGCCTAAGCTATTAAAAACTTCCTTTTAAAGTTGCAGTGACCCTTTGATACCAAAGTTTCATTGCATACAAGTGTACATCCTATCCTCTTCTCCCTGCCATCTTATTCCATCCCTTTCTCTTATGAAATCTCTTTTTCATCTCTTCTCAGTTCAGAGGTAGTCGACATCATAAAAGATAGATGTAGAAACCAGCAGATGAACACACTAACCTTTCATGCTGCTATCGAAGACCTTCTTCAAGGTTTTTTCTGCAGCCTATAGACTCCACCAATAGAGATCTGTGCTATCATCTATAAAGACAGAAAATGAATCCTAAGCATCCAAACATCTACAGTATACAAATCTTGTTTTGTGGCTGAAAGGGACACAAAGGGACTTCCTCTAACTCCCCTGTACACATTCTCCACCTGAAGAATTGACAAGATACTGCAGAAACCATATCGAATTGCAGAGACAAACTTATTTTTAAATTTTATTGCGTCAGTGTCAAAGGCAAACTGGAAGTTCTCTAAAATGCAACGCTCCCCTTCTGACACTCCACATAGCTTCAAAGAAAATCATGTCTCAAACATGATTTAATGCATTTTACATTACTTTCACTGTCTTAGTGTCAAGCACTTGGGTCATTAAACTACTTCTGATTTTTTTCCTGATCTACTTCACTTTGTAGCATTTCCTCAGCCATGCAGACTTCTGTGGCATCTAACTAAAACACTTTTTAAGTTGGTCAGTAGGACTTCATTCCAAAATCAGCAAAGATGCTGCAGGGTTTATTGCTTTTTATTTTACTCCTCTGTGTATGCATATCTGCATCATGTGCCATTGGATAAGATTTCATTGTGGACCTAAGCACTACCACTCTAAAAACGTTAATATGATAGTTTATGAAAGTAGTAAATTGTTCAGTTTCACAACTCTCAGAACTCAACTGGGGAGAAAATCATACGGAATTACAACTTGCAAGGTAACTGATGTGTTTCAGTTTCATTTCTGCAAAGAAAAAGGAGCAAAAGCCAATTGTGAAGTTCAAAGGACTGGCACTGGAGATGGAAACTGTTGAAAAATTCACCATAATTGCTTTCAAATCTACAAGAGGAGAGAATTCCTTTAGGAAAAAAAATATATATATACAGTTGAAGAGGAAAAATTTTAGAAATCTGCATCTTTGTTACAACAGTATAAAAAAATCCATTCATGGTCACAATTACATACTATTAATTTAAATTAAATTTTCTACAATAAGTGGGGCTATATCCATCTGATATTGAGAATTTGCCAATAAGAGAACTCTGTATCTCCTGTGGTTCGTATGGTTGAAGAAAAACAATGATACAAGCATCCTCATTATCTAGTGTTATGAAACTTCATTTCTGCATGAAAGACAACAGCTTAGATAGGTTTCATAAGTAATGTCCTTTTTTGTTTGTTTATCTATTAATTTTGCACAGGAATTTAATATTTTCTCACCGTTCCTTCTTAACAGTAAAAGTCTTTGCTGTAGTGATGAGTTTATCATGTTTTTCATGAAATTATCTAGGCTGGATATGATATTGCAAAGAACTTTCAGACTTATTTCGTACAAAACCCAAACACTTTTTTTGCCTGCTTATGAAACCCAGGATGTGTCAAAGAACTACATGCCATTAAATGAGACTGTTCACTATCATTTTGTTTTATCTTAGTTTTGCTTAGGAATATCAGATGTGAAACATAAAGCTGAGCTTCATCTCTGTGCTGCAAACTCCCTCAGATTGAAGTGGGAAAGAAGCAGAAGTAGCAGCACATACAAGCATGTGTGTATGTCACATCTTTGAATCTCTGCTTTCTTCCTTCAGTTCAGCTACCCAAGTTATAGCAGAATATTTTTGTACAGCTAGTGCAACATTGAAAGCTTTCTATCATTCACACATTTTGGCCACTTGTTTCTTTTTCTTTTTTTTTTTTTAATTTTTCCTCTTATATGAAGACAGAACATTATCATATCATCATATCATTTTGGGCTTCTCAGCACTAAGGAAAAAAACAAACAAAAAAACCTAATGATTATCTCTGCTGGGAGACCAAGGAGATGGAAGGAACAGATGCAGCACCAAAATGTAGAATAGTTGCTTTAGAGCCATATCTTTTTGGCTTTGCTATGAAAAGAGCTCATACAAATGAAGTGATTAGCTCACACTACACAGGTCTTTTAAAAGGAAGAAACAAGCCACAACAACGACAATACAGAGCTGCTGTAGCAAAAGCTCATTTGAGGAGGGACTGCTTTTGGAGACTCATTCATGCATCAATCTTCTCTAAGTAGGAAAAGCAAAAAGCAACTGCTTTTTGTCCTTTCTCAGAGTCACACAAAAAACTAAACCAACTGGTTGCATTAAGATCTAAGCAAGTCAGCTACAGAACACCCACAGCTGCAGCAACAACACAGAAATGTGTTGCAAGTTGGTAACAACTGTGGGAAAATCCGTCTGGCAGAGGCTGAAATTTCATTCTCACATAGCAAAGCAAAAAAATCTAGTCAAATGTCACTTTGAAGTAAATCTAGAAGAAACTGTAAGAAGAAACTCTTACAAAATGCACATTCAGAACAGATGTTCAATCCAAAGCTCATATATCAGCATAGTAACAGGTCAATTTTTGTTTAGTTTTAAAGCATGTAGAATTTACTTTAATGTAATAGCGATGAGAGACCATCAGCTATAGAGCAGAAAAAGTCAAAATACTTCTTTTAAAATGCCAAACAAGTAGAAACTGTCTAAATTTTGTTTGGTCTCCACTGTGATCAAAACAGAACTATAAGTTCTTTGCAGTGCTAATCACCATGTGAAAATAAATGGTCTTTTATGGCTAGCTGGTATGCTTCTTTAGGACTTGATGCTCAACTATTTTTTATTTTTTCGTAAAAGAAGTACTATACTGCTTTTTAATATAGGAAGGGGCGGTGTTGTGCCAAATCTTTCTAGGACTCTCATTAGTACATTTTTTGGAAGGATCAATCTACTAAGAGTATTCTCTGACATTGGATTAATGTAGAGTTATATTTTCTAAAACTATGATTTGCATCAGAGGGAAGTGAGAACGTTACATCCAAGATTCCTATATTCCATTGTACATGAAGTATAAGAAGCCTGAAAAAAAACAACACATACGTCAACATATAGTTTGACAGCAAAATTTAATGTCACCTAATTTAAATATGGCTAAAGAAACTAAATAACTTTCAGATCTGGTCTGTCAAAAGCTTCTTCTGTGTGTGGTGGCTTGGGAGCTCTGATGCATAAGAGCACCCTCTGTGAATTCATGAGAAAAATTTTTCCAACCCCACCATCACCTCTCAGCAGAAGAGCAGGAACAAAAGAGACACAACCAACCAGAGGAAACCCCTAATTGGAACCACTTCCTTTGCTGTGGCTTATTGGTCATTTTCTACACTTAAGAGACACATGAAGGCAAGTAACAGAACACAAGGTGTTTAAGAAGTAAATTCCCCACAATTTGAACTAAATATACTCCTCACACCATGACTTGTACTCCATAACCACACTGTAATGAAATATTTTAAAGGATATGTTGCAAAATTATAGAATGCATTTTAATATGGGCTTTAACCATTTACAAAAGAAATGTAAACTATTCTGCATGTACAGAACAAGGAAAAGAGACTTGTTTTCATTTTAAACTTTGTTTCCCAATACAACAACATGCATCTCCATAATAGAAGCAGTTAATGGCACTATTAACTCAACCACCTAAAACCAGAATCTATATTAATTACATTCATTATACTTAATTGAGCATAATCATCTAACCTAACAATTCCTTGTACACTAATTAATAAAACAGCATGTCTTCTGGATCAGAAATGCATTAATTTATTTCTCTTGAAGGTAAGATATTTAGGGGGCAAATAAAATTTATAACTCTCATCATTAATATACTTGGACAGATACAAATTTTTTTTAATCACAGTGACTTTTCATGCCAACAGATCTCCTTCTTAAGTGAAGTTCAAATTTCATGCAAATTTTGCCTATCTGCTGTATTGATTTTTTTTCTCCCGTGTGACATTTGAAGAAAAAGATGTGAATCAGTAATATCATTTCCACAAAAACATTACAAAAATAATCACAAAAGAAGTCAAAAAAATGCCATCTGCATGATGAGCAGTTTTCAGCAACTCTACATGATATACTTGAAATTCACTACGTAAAACGTTATCTCCCTAAGCACGTGAAGAAGAAAGCCCTTATATGGCAGGTCAGAAGCCTGGAGAGATTCAATGTACCATACAAAAAAATAATATATGTGTGTATATATATATGTATATATACACACAATGAAAGCATGAACTACATTGTCTTCCAGCAGTGAACTTACGGTATCATATGAACTGACTATTTGGGCTGAATCTCCAGAGTAGTCACTATTTCCCCTTTGTTTCCAGTCACAAAATGTCCACAGGAAAAAAAAAAATAAAATCCATAATGCTTAAATTTGTGCATACACTGAATAAAGCAATCTATACCTCTGCACCTGAAAATCCCCACTTGATTACTGTTCACTTTGAAAGAAATCCTAGCTATTAGTGCCTTGATCTTTGATAGCAAATTATCTTAGGCACCTGCAGGGTGTTTTCATTGGTAGTTTTTTGGGGGTTTTGCTTGTTTGACTGTTTGTTTTTCTTTGTTGTTTTGTTTTTTTGTTGTTGTTTTGTTTTTGTTTTTTACATATGCTGAGAAGTGCTGCCTTTTTCCAGATCTGTGCTGCCTGTCGTCTGTTGTTCTGTTTGGCATGAACCAAGCCTAATTCCTCTACTTTGTTCATGAGAGACATAATTTGATAGATATTTCACCCACAGTTTTCTCTCAGCAAAGACACAGCTGAACAAACCTGAGAACTGGTTTCATCCTGACATTGCAGAATCAGGATTATCTTCTGGTACAGGAAACTGAAATAAAGATGAACCTTAGATTGGGAAGTCAACCTGAAAACTGAACAGTGGATTTCTAATATAGAGTTAGTCACTAGACCTCTTATTAAAACTATTACAATGTCTAATAATTATTGAAGAAGCAATGGGCTAGAGGCAGAAAGCTCTAGACACTTTGTCATTTAGTAGCTATGCAGGTTTGCATTGAAAGAATGCATTCCATTTCACATTGAATAGTTTCAATAGTAATAATAAGCAATCTTTGAAGGAGGAAATGGAGGGAACTATACTTAATAATTAGAACACTTCCTGGGGAAGGGAGAGTAATATGCATTTGGCCCAATAAATCTTTGAAGCTGTTCC